CCTGTTTCTTTTGGAGAGGACTTTTGAAGATCTGTGTCACAAAGCATAACCGCTAGCTGAATGCTAAAAACGAGAGACAAAATCAGTTATTTCCATGTACTTGAGATCTTGCATAGGCAAGAAGCCAAGATTCAGAAACCTGACTGCTCAGAGCCTTACACCGTGATGTGTGTAACACTCCTGTTCACACAAGACATTGTCAGCAATGGAAGGCATCTAACACATTGCCAACAAAAAGGCTTCTTCCATAACAAAATCCATCCCCGGTATTTTTCTAATGGCATCCCAATTGGCAGACATTTGTGAAAATAAGCCAGAGCAACTGGTAAATACTTCCCAGGCATTAAAAAAAACCCCAACTTACTTGCAGATATTATTCACCTGTTAATACTCATTATATTTATTTTAAGGTTCATTTTCTTGATCATTAATGTCAACTGACATCTAGAACAGAATCCAAACAGCATATGAATAATTCAACAGAAAAACTGGCAAACAGTCCTGAGCTAATTTATAACTTATCAAAGGATGATATGGTCCCCTGCTATAACAGTACTGACTTGATGGTTCAAGAGACCCTTTTGGTCCTGTGTTCCTATTTTAAATACTATTAAAAGGATGTGTTCTGTGTTTTAATATTCATCAGTAGCGCAGAGAATAAGCATCAGCACAGCGATGTACTAAACCACACCAAGAGTAAACAAACAAGTCCCTATCAAAGATCACAGAACACACAAGGTTTATTTCAGTCTTGCTGAATGCTATTCATAGTGGGTTTTCTTCTGTATTTTATTTCAATTTAAATGAGAAAGCCCTGTTCTGTTCCCAGATGGTAAGATGCTAGTGGTTCTGAACAGATCATTGTAGATTGTCAAACAAAGAACCAAAACAACATTTTACCCAACATATCCGGGGACTATTAAGACACCTACAGTAGGAGTACATCCATTTCACTTGGATATAGTCTCACAACAGCAATCTCACATAACACTTTTTTTTTTTTTTTAAGTAGAAAAATTAGAATGGGACCTTCTGTGGGGTCTCATAGAAGAGCTACTAATTTTTCTATGGACTTGCATTATTCCATGCACTCTGGTTACCAATTCAACACAGTTCACTTCACTGCTACTTTCATTTCCTATAACACAGGGAGACAATGAGCTTATTCACAATTCATTCCAGAAGAGCAAAATAGACATGTAATTTATCTAAACCATAAATGGATGGTAACTTGACGTAGTTCGAGATTAAAATTAGTTATGAGTCCTGCTATGTCTAACTACTAAGCCTTTTATTCTACATGCCAGCAGCCAGTTAACACCATCACTTCTTAGGGAGCATACAGCTCTGCAAGAATATATACGCAGAATGTGAATAATCCTGGAGCATTTCATTTGTATACTGTATGGTCTCAAAACATGAAACAAATATTTGAATACACCATCTTCCTTGATCAAAGCTTCAGCAAAGTTCCCTGGAGCAGGATGTGAATTCTGTCTCAGGCAGGGTGACATGGCTTGCTTTGGTCTTCAACATGTCTAAAACTATTAAGGAAAAACGTTGCTAACACTTTAAAGTTAAAAGTAAGATAACATCAATTTATTTGTTTTTCCTCACATTAGTTATAAACAAAAATATTTTAAGCTTAAATCACTGTAAAGGGAACTACAACAAGATTATTACAACTCACAGTCTAGTTCCTGCAGGTTAACAGAGGAGTCGATTTTAACTTTGAAAACCTTGCTTGAAATTGTAGCACACGAATGTCTTGAAAGATTCATTACACAGGGCCACTTAAAACTTTCATTTTGTTATGCATTACTTGTTCCTAATTATTCTTACATTCAACCCTTAAAACACCCTCATGCTTACGGAAACTGATGAAAAAAAATAAACCACTGCTTTTTTAATTTTAACAGTGCCAGCTGTATCAGATCCATCTTAGCCTCTTGGCTTTCCTTTCAGAATGAACTTTTTCCCAGTTGCAGACAACTAAGCCGCTGGATGCCTGCAACTCCGTAGCACTGCAGCACTAGGTCTTTAGGAACTCCTCATTTCTGCCTCTGCTGCACCCTGCGCTGCCAGAAAACCCTGCCCTCTTCCCCTTGCAGTGATTCCGTCGGATCCAGCCACAGGTCCCATTCTCTCACCTGGCTGTGAACGCACCGGCCAAAACGCCTAATCCCAAACTTTAGTGCCTTGCCTTCGACAAGAACCTGTCAGTTAAGGGTGAAACATACCGGGGAAGATGCCCAGAGGCCACAGGAGTGGCCTGCCCGGGGCCAGACTGCGTGCGGGCCCACAGACAGACGAGCCACCGACCCGGCCCTCGCACCCCGACGACGGCGGAGCTCCGGGCTGCCTCCTCCTCTTCACAGTGCTCTCGAAGGGGAGCGGCGGGGCCGGGGAGGTTTCATGGAGGTCGCCCGTCCCTCCCGCTCTCTTTCTCCCTACTGCTGCTGGCACCGCACCTGGAGGGCTGGGAACGCCGCCTGTGCTGGATCGGGCTCCTCGACGTGAGCACCCACGGTCCCGAGCCGGGACGCCGGAGCTGGGCGAGAGCCGGGACACCAGCGTTCTCAGCGGGCGGCGAGCGGGGACAAGGGTTTCCCTACTTGCCTTCAAGCGCGGGGAAGCTCGTAAGAGAGGTGCTAAAAACGGGACTACAGTGGTTTGAGAAAGGCAGCCGCCATCCGGGAGCCGGTGGGCAGCCGCTGGCGGAGCCGGAGCCCGGACGGGACAAAGCCGTGCCTGCCGTGCCCTCAGAGCTCCCGACGTGAAACTCTCTCGTTTCCCCATTCCTTCAGCCCTACCTATCTGCATGCTCAACCTTGACATTACTCATCAGCTACTACGGAGGTACAAGGAGGGAGAAAGGGGAAGCCCTGCCTCTATCCAGCTGAAGTTTCCCACTCCACGAAAGAGCCCGCTCGCCGAGGGGGTGACCAGCACTCCCGGAGCGCAGGGAAGAGATGAAACTTACATGGTGACATTACGGGGCGGCTCCTCCCGGCCTCAGCAACCATCCTCCTCCTCCTCCTCCTCCTTCTTCTTCTCCCGCGCCGCCGCTCGCGGGCTCCTCGCGAATGTCATCGCCAGTTGCCCACCGCGCCCGCCCCCCGCACGGCACTGCTCCGCTCCTCCTCCTCCTCCCGCCGCCGCGGTGCCCGCCCTGGGACCTGCCTCTCTTGGCACAAGGCGGGGGAACTTCGGTGCCTCCCGCGGAGGGTTGGGACCGCCCCGTCCGCGCCCGCCGGTCCCCGGGCCCGCCGCGCCTGGGGCTCAGGTGCCGGCGGCTCCGGAGGGTCCCGGGCTCTCCTCCCAGGACCAGCTCCACGGGAGCGGCGCGCCGCTCTGGGAGGGAGGTGGCTACCGGGACCGCACGCCATTCGCAACGCCCCGGCCCACTGGTAAGGGGCTAACTCGGGGGTGCACGGCCCCCAAGCAGATTTACACCCCACTGGGAGACCCCGGCCCAAAGCACAGGGGCCACCTCTGAGGAGATCCCATGGCAGGGATCCCATGACCCTCGGTGGTCACAGCTTCCTGGGCACGAAGCTCCTCGCAACACCCCAGGGGCAGCAGGTCCCTGGGGCACACACCCTGCGCACCCGCCACACTGCAGGCAGCAGAGGTGAGGGCACACAGCCCTGTGTGCCTCCAAGAGACAAACCACTCGTTTCCCACAGTTTCTGATACAGACCCCAAGGCACTTAAAGGTATCAGTTTTCCCTGATGCACACAAGGCACACTTGGAATAGAAGCCAGGTGGAGGTGATGCACCTCTGACCCACTTTCTGAAGCGCACAGGGCTGTACGGTGCTCACATACACAGTTCCAGCCCACACTTCATGCCTGCATAGCAATTTGGAGGGTGGTAGTTTGCACCATTTGCTAATGATCCTGAGTTGCTTTTTTCAATTAAAATCTGTAGAGTGTGGTACTAGAATGATAGAAAGGGAGATACAGCACAACACAAGGTCACAAAAGAAGTCCAAAATTTTCATGGTACTCCTTGGATCTGAGCTGGAACGATTGGGAAGGATGGGGGAAGAGAAGGCTTGACATAGGGAATTATACAATGACTTTATCAGCATGCAATGGCAGTTAAAAGCAAACAAGAGTTCTTATTAAAAATAAAAAGAAACAAACCACTAAATCTTTCATGAACTTTATACTCATTCTGGTCAGTTTTCATTTTCAGTCTAAGAACAGTGAGCTGTAGGTTCTCTTTCACTGTAACTTCCTGGCACTGAACCCAGGCACAGGAGCCACTGGGGCTGTGTTCACCAGAGCTTTGAGTGGCCAGCTTCAAGCTGCAACCCAAAGGCAGGAAGGATGACTTTGTACACAGGTTGGCTTTTCCTCCATGTTAACAGCTCTGTATCCTGAGCAGGTATTGCACCCCTTTCCACCCTGCTTATGGGTCTGGGGTCACACAGGAAAGGCCCAAGGGACTGCCAGAGGCATGGGGAAGGGTAAAACACCAGGTTTGCCCCAAGACCTGTAGTCAACTGCCCCGAGGCTTTCTGCAGCAGCCTCTTGGATAAAGTCTGTGTAGATCAACTTTATACAGCATTTCCAATGAGTCCGATGTATCAATGCACGTCAGACTTACTCTACTAGGTACAGTCAGTTTGTGCTTGAGCAATAAACAAGTTATCACCACCTGGGTTTATTGTAGACACATAGATTGCAGTTATCTCGCATGCACAGCATGTTTGTGCATCTAGAATGCATTGGCACACTATATATGTGCAGATGAATTGAAGATTAAGCTCAGTATCTCCTGGGCATATTGGGCCCACTGTGTATGTGTGTGATGTACACAGAAAGTCAAGAGCATCTGAAAGAGGTCAGTCTGCTGTTCATGCAGACATTCTTGATTGATATGTGTGTAATGCATCTCTGCTGACTATGTTGGAAACTTGCATCTTCCTTCCTTACTTGGAAGGTAGAGGTGACTGCAAAAAAAAAAAAAAAAAAAAAGAAAAAGAGGAGAAAGAAAGGAAAAAAAGAAGTCATGGAAGTTTCTGTTTTGTGATTAATTCTCCTGTTCTGAATTTGCTGTCATATACTTTCTCAATCATCAGTCTGCTTTCTCCTTCACAGCAGGAGTGCTGCTGCTCCTTGATTCTCAAGAAAAACACTCCCTGTGTTGTCCAGTAGGAATAATGTGCAGTGCAGATTTTCTGGATAATGAAGTAGCATGTTGCTGGAGGCTGTCTCAGGGCTGCAGAGTAGGGAAGAGCAGCCTAACTGCTCATGAGAAAATGCCCATCATTATCTGACAGCAGTTTGCTGTGCCACATCTGCCTTTAATAAACAGTGAAACAACTTTGCATGGGGTTGTCGAGGGGGACTACTTTTCTGGCTGCTGCTTAGCAAAAGTGAGAGTTTGTATAAATTACAGTGATTTTAAGGTGTCCGTCCAGAAAGACTGCAGGCTACCTTACAAAACCTCACTCAGGTTAACATTGCAGGCCATGATTTGAGTAAGAGGAAAAAAGTTCCCAAAGTCTGGGAAACAGAGCTATAATCAACCAGTGAGAGGTTCTTTATGTGGACATCTAGTGAGCGATACCAACAGAAGGATGAGAGGATCTTTTCATTTTTTTAATTACTGTGTCTGTAATGCCAATGTTGCTTTGCACTTCTTTTTATTATACTACAAGCAATGGTGTCTGAATGTTGTTAGGTAGAGGGGTAGCATATTCTAGGAATATTCCAGAGTGTTTCATGAATATTCTGAGATGATTAGTGAAATATTTTTATGAGTTTTGTAGGCCCTTATTTTTATGGCTTTGTTTATATAATGTTTTAAACTTATGGGTTAGGTCAGTTTCTTCATGTTTTGAAACGTTGCACAACCTCCTGAAATATTTTATAAGAATGCTGAAGAATGTTTCATGAATTGATAACATGAACTATCATATTTTATGTCTGGATAATTCATACATGATTTTTCTTGGAACTTTTGTTCTGAAACTTTCCTCCTTATTATAACAATTTCATTGAGGAAAACCTGTGTTTATTTTCCAAAGCAGTGCAAATGATGAAACTGCATTGCCTGTAATAGTGCAAAAGAGAAAACGCTTGATGCACAACAATAAAAAGGAAGCTTAAAATAAATAGTGCAGTGCTATAAACTTGTGAAGAAAATCAAGATCAGATGCCTTCTCAAAAAGTCCAAGGAAAAAAAAAAGTTGGCTTTGCAGTCTACCACCATTCCTGGCTTTCTGCCTGGTTGTTTTCCTATCTTGCAGAAAACTTGATAGATACCACCAGCTGAGTCTGCAAGTTCAAAGGTGAGCTCCCAGAAGCTGGTTTTGAGGATCAAAGTCTGGGCGTTGATCTAAAAGGTGAAGTAGCAGCATTGATATGAACTGCTGCTCTCAATTCTTGTAATTCAAGATTACTTTAGGCTGTTGAGATAGAGCAGGCGAGGAGTCTGTTTCACTATGCTTTTTCTTATAGCAATCTTTATAGTCCTGCAGCTCTTCCTTTTTGAGGGTCTTCTTATAAAGTCTTAGCACCCAGACTTCAGCCCCAGTCAGCTTTGTTTGCCCCATTCTGGATCACAGCAGAAGTCATTTCTCACAGTCCAGAGGACAATCTGCCTGAACTTCCTGGCTTTTCAACTAACTCTGCCAGGAAGTCCCTAAACAACTCCTCTTTCCTTACTTTTTCCTTATTTGAGAGATTCAAAGCCTTACTTTTCTGTTTTTAGGTGTAGATGAGGTGAGAACTGGATCAGGAAAATCTTTTTCTTTGTTCAGTTCTTTTTTTCTCTGGAGACGTGTTTTCCCTTCAGGTTTGAGATGCCATCCAGACAGTACTGGTTCCCATTAGTAATAGACTGAAGAGGCAGCAAGTCAGTTTTCACTGTGGTCCTTAATGCAGTGTTTTCATGTACAACCTTGGCAGGGATGGCTGAATGCTGGGTGAGTGAATGTTTCTTTGAGGCTGCTGATCCACTAGATAGAGGGAAATGGCATGCAGTTTCTATGTCTGATCAAATATATCGAGCAAGCATGGGGTCCCAGACACCTGGGAGGCAAGGGCATTGGAAGGACCGTATTGACTAAAGTTAGTAATTGGGGATCCACCTATGAACGATTGCACTGACTTATATGTTCTTGAATTTATTGTTTTGTCTCCTGAAAACAAGCATGAAGTGAGTTGTAACTCTAATACATTTCTACAACGTATGTGCAGAAGTTCAGGAGCTAACCCACCTTGATGTTTGCCTCATTGGTGCTTTCTCTGTGTGCTTTCATGTGCATAAATCTTAGGTTATGAAATATTTCCTGTCAGGGAGGTTACCAACAGCTAAAATGCTGTGCTTTGAGCCAGATGAAACGTCTTTGATGAAGTGCTGACAGCATTTCATATACAGTGCCTGCACACACTGCTCTTCATAAGAAAAGCAGACTGGGCAGAAAGCTAATTTGGATGGTTCTCACAAAACATTTCAAGTTTTTAATCACTGTAATTTTTTTGAGCCCATTCCAACTCCTTACTCTCTTGATCAAGCATTCCAGGGGTCCTAAACCTTAGCCTGCTGGAGCACACTGCCACTCAGCATTCTTGCACACATTTCTGATCTCTGGGGTTGGGAGGATGCTGGAGGTCCTTGCTTACCATCTCTAAAGGCTTCCTGAACTTTGATTTCTCTCAAGGGGAAGAGGAACCTCAGAACTTTTTCCCAGCTTCAGATGAATGGAGCTGGGAGCAGTGCTCATATTACATGGTGATGCATTCTCTTGCCATAAAGAACCTGCAGGATGATGTTAATATCAGCAGGCTGATCTAAGCTAGTGTCTGGTATTTGAACAGGAAGATAAACCTGGTAAGCAAGAGCTTGTAAAATCAGAGGATATGCAGTGAGAGCTAATCATTCTTGGTGTGATATGAAGAATGGGGAAGAACCACAGTATACAGAAGGTCACAGGTGGTGAAAATAGAGACTTCATCAGAGTTCATTCATTTCTGCAAAGTATACTTTGAACTCATTAGATACCAACCAACAGGGTAGAACACATTGAACTATCCAATTGTCTTGTCTAAAAATATGTCTTTGTGACTGGAAGTCATTTCAATGCTAAGTTCAACACCAGCTAAACTCCCCCACCTTCTCAAAACACTGACTATGAAATCAGAGTTATTTAAAGAAGGTACGCTGATAGGGCCTTCCCAAGGTTTCAGTTGAGTAGGCTGTAGTTTCAGGTATCAGTTACCTGATTCATCTCTCATTCTGGATTCTTGATTGTTTTCAGTCATGGACTAACCAGTTTGGAGGAGTCAAAAAAACAGTCATTCTTCACCTATTTTTAGAACCAAATTTTTCCTATAATACAATTTCTGGGCAGGATTTCTCACTTCCGTTTTCTGTCCAGATGTTAAAGATTTGGAACAACTGGAAGAAAAGCTGACCTCATGGTATTTCCATCAGGTTCCACTAGTGGAACAACTGGAAACCTCATGAGGAAAGCCCTTCTCTGTCGAAGTGTTCAGACTAGTTTCGCAGACTCAAGAGCTTAGGAAACTTCGGATAAGTTTTGAGTAAGCATCAAAATATTTGGATGCTTATCAGAACTGGAACCAAAGTGAATATTATGAAGTTCATTCATCATTCTTTGTAAAAACCACACAAGTGGTAACAAAATCACAGGATCACACAGAAGTGGAAATCATTGCACATTAATCATAATCAATTAGCTTTTTCACATGCAATCAAAAAATAATACACTTCAGCAGAATGGAAACTAGATGCTAAAAACAAGTGCAACATTCAGTCAAAGAAGTGTTGAAGGACCAGAGCTGCAGGTGTAGGGTGAAAGCAGTAAATGTACTGATGTATAAACCCTTTCTGGCTTTAAAGAGAGTGAAAGAAAAAAAAATGAGAGTGCCATGCTTCAGGTTAACTAGCTATCAGCTGCTCTTCTAAGACTTTTCACTGTATTCAGGCTGAAACCACAGGAGTTACACAGTGGTGTTTTAAGCCAGCACTGTATTCTTTTGAAAGTATGAGGAAAAGTTATTGCAATTCTACTTTCCATTAAAATATGCAAAAAAGAACATTGGTTCAAAGCTATGTAAAGATTTGACCTGCTTTTTTAGGTTAAATTCCATTTCCTATGCATATGCGTTATTATAAATTATGCAGGCCTATACTCTGTTCCACAAGACAAGCAAGAAATACAACAGGTTCTTGAGCCTGAAGCACATAATGGAGTGATACAGGTAACATCTAGTCTGGCAGCCTTCAGCTCCCCAAACCAAATGATTAGGAATGCTTTGAAAACTGGACTAAATAGGACAGACTGTGATGTGAATTCACAGTGACTATTAAACTCATGCTTCAGACTATAAGGCCCCAGCCAGTACAAGAACAGTTAATTAAAATTTAAAAAGTGCTTTCCATTAAAAAGTGATCTGAGAAAAAAATCCAAAACCTGAACTTTTCAAAGTACCTTTTAAATTACCCTCACCATAATATCTAAATGCTTCATATCATAGCACCCTTCAGTGAATACGTGGACTTACCCTTATTTTCCAAGTAGGGAACTTACAGACAGAGACATTATGGACAAAATTACAAGAAGTGCCCACATGCTCAGTGTCCAGCCTGGAATTGTTAGGATACTATTTTCCTTTGTGATTTTTGAGTTATATTTATAACACTTCTCTGTTTTTAAGATGTATTCCTGTTGAGCTCAGGTTTCCTCATTGTAAAAACCAATAAGGAAGCTGAAATACAGGAGTTAGTGATAATTTTTTTTTTTTTTAATATAAAAAGATCTGTGGCAGCAGTAGGAACCAGTTCTTCACAGCTTCCTGAAAATATTTTTTATTTGCCTTCAGCTCCTTCCCCATGTGTTTTTCCCCCTTTATCACTGGTTGTAGGCATTGCTCACACTGAAGCAGCATCTCAAATTGTACAACTAATCCTGATTCTTGCAGGAATATATTTAGACTTCCAGCAGTGAATAGGGTTAGGACCTTGAGGAGAGTGTGGTGAGAAATGAAAGCTTATGTCACAATACATATTGTTATATGGCTACTTTCTACCCATGTCCAGCTCAGTGAGCTCCTTTTGCAACTGGATCATCTAACAGCAGAACCTCCAGTTAAGCTGCCATATTTTACTCTAGCTTGACCAGACACTGAAACAGCATCCTTGTTAGGATCTGCAACTAAAAAAGAAACACCTTACACTTTCTTTTTAACTCAAAGAAATACCACCAGCTGAGCCAAAATGAGCTTGGAATCACTAGATTAATGTGTATTTGCCTCACCTAAACCTGGACTTTTCCAAAAGATGATTTAGGAATACACACCTCTGCAGACCTCCTGGCTGATTCTTCTTTGTATCTTCTCTTTTGCTTTCATGGGCAGAATATAATAAATAAATAAATAAATAAATAAAGCCATGAAAAACCAAAAGCAGAGGCAGAGCCCCATTAAGAGAATGATACTGGAACAGGAATAACTTTTTGTGATTGTGGATGATTAGGAGAGGTATCAGTGGTGACTTTCCACAGACCAGCTGCAGAACAAGGGAAAGCAGTCAGCAGTGAAGAAACAGACACCAAAGCTTTATAGACAGCTTTAATTCAGAATTGTAATAGAAGACCTAGTTCACCATCTGAACATGCTTAATTCAGTGTGAAAGCTCGGCTAGATGCATATGCTTTCATTTTTTTTTTAATTTCTTTATTTATTTTTAAACACTGATGTGACTTTCATCATAGAAGCAAGACTGCATATACTTGTACTGCAACATGAATGTGCAGCCCCATGCATTTCCCAATAGAGAGCACTAACTGAGACTATGTAGGATGTGATCATAACTTGTCATAGTCCAAGTCACACTTTTTTTTTTTTTAATCTTTTAGGTTCTTTATGAAAGTTTATGCATTTTCTGCATAAGCCATTCTAAAACATCCTCAGGAACTGAAATCACTTAATTCTTTGGTGTTACTTCTATAAGGCATGTGTTGGACTCTTTTATCTATGTTTATTCCTTAATTTGAGAGAGAGTGCATTAGAAAAACAGTTGAGGTCATATATCTTCATGATGACTAAATATGACCTGGAAAATTTTGTGGAGAAGAGGAAAGAAACAGGGAATGTCTACTTACCTAACTTGAAATCAGGGCTTGACAAGTCACAGAAAACTATGCAAGGAGAAGAGAAAATATTTTCCATTTAACCCTATGTGAAACTTTGGCGTTTCATTCTTAGTATTATAAATTTTTTCCTACCCTCCTTTCCTCCCTGCCCTGCTTCCCCTCCTATCCCTGTCACTTCTTCCCTCACATCCCCCCTTCCAAATATTTGATGCTAAAGATTCTAAATTCAGTGTTATTCAACTTAACTCCATATTAATACCTACTTAAATGAGAAATCATTAAACAGCTTTTAAAGTATTTAAAAAAATCTGTATTTTGCATTTATTTTGAAAAATAGTGAGATTAATGTATGTTTGCAGAAAAATAAACCCAAACCAGGAACTCCAAGCTTTTCTTACCTTCATATAGTCATTTCCCTGAATTGTATTAAAATTTTCAAAACTTCATAAAAAGAACAACCCGTATTACAGAACAAAGTCAGTCAAAACCTCTATGTTAAACACAAAAAGAAAAAATAAAATTAAAAAAGAAAGAAACCACCCAAACCTACCTCTATTTTTTTTTCTTTCATTATTTTTGAACATTTTCCATTTATGTTTGGGAAATATGGACCAGTCCTACCCTCAGTAGAGGTATCTCCTGTACTCTTTTGTTAGGACATGGAGACTGTGTATTTTACTTCCCTAAGCATTACATTCTAAGTGGATATACAGAAAAATACTGCCCACTGCAGCCCTGACTGCCAGGAGGAATTCAAGTGCATATATAGCTGGCAGCATAATTCCCCTCTTACCACAGCCCTCTCCCCAGGACTGTGGTTAAAAAGGCACAGGACAGCAGTTCCCAGTGAAACGTCTGCAGCAAGACCCTGTAGCTTACCCACAGCAAATTCCAGCCAGTGAGAAAAAAATCACCCATGACTTACTGAAACAAGGAGCAAGCTTTGCCTGTGAACCAGGATACGGGAGGACAGATCCCACAGCACAGGAATTGTAGCTGCTCCTGTGTTCCTATGGCTAGCTTCATATTTCAGCCTTAAAGTCTAGCTAATCACAAGAGCTGCTACTACTTAGATGCTTGAAGTGTTATAGTATAGCATATATTAGGGATACAGTGCTCCTAAGGTAAAAAAAAAATAATCAAAATCTACTCCTATTAGCCATGTTAATTACTGACCATTTATGTACACTCTTAATCTGTGAAATCTATTACAACAAAGAGTGACAGAAAGAAACCATTTCAAATAATATAAATACAGATACAAGTATAATACTCAAGATTCCCAAAGTTTAACAATGTTTGGATATCATTCCCATTTAACTTTCATATTTTGCTGTTTTAAATTAATTTCATCAGAAATGAGCAATTATGAAATTCAGAGGGTTAAAGAACAAAGTCCAAATAAATCCCTTATAAGAAAACATCTGAACTTAGTTTAATGATTATTTTTTGATAATCCACAAAGATTAATTAAAAATATACAGTAATTCCTTTGAAGTTCACCATTTTCATTATGATGTTGAAACGTCTTCCTGCAGCTAAACTTTGTCTAATCTATCCTGAACATACTTATTTATTTTTTCAAATAGAAAAGGAAATTTAGACAGTTGAATGTTAGTGCTGCTTATTAATTTCACAATGTTAATATTGTTAGTAATTTATTAAACTGGAAGTATTTGAGGGACCAGTTCAAGTTACTGACTCAGCAGCTCAAATATGTCCCTAAAGCAATGATCTAACACACAGGTTCTTTCATGTCCTAAGTTACTGGAGTCCAGTTCTCAATGACATGGTTTTACCATCATCACATCATAACTCTAAACATATGCTTGGGAATCTTTATTTGAAGTCTCAGTGGAGAAATCAATGGAGCTGCAGTGAATGCCGACCTCTCACTTACTGTAGGTATATTCCATTCAAGTTATGGACAAGACATATTAGCTGAATGACTTGGGAAGGCACAATGTCTACCCCAAACTCCTCCTATGAGAAAGTAACCTGCAGCACTAGAGTCCCATTTAAAGTATATTGCAAGAAATATGAACCTATTAGTAGAGGTATTTTCTGTATCATTAAATGATCCTACTATAAAGGGCTGCATTTATATATTCAGAGTGGGTGTTCCTATGGGTACTGCCCTTTCTCTCTTCTTGCAAAACATGCTTCCTCCCCATCTTGTCTCTGCCCTTATTGCCTCATGTTTGTTTTTTTTTGAAGGACGATGAAATAAGAAACAGCACCATGTCCAAAGACCACAACAATGGCTTCCTAGTCATCTTTCTGCCCCACAGGCATGCAGCACTCCTCCTCCACCTTCTCCTTACTCAATAATAGGCAACTGGAGTTTCACACATCATCTCAGCATGTAAGGGACAGGTAAAAAAAGGAGTGCAAAACCCTAACCACTACTGAGGAAGAAGGATGAGTATATGAGGCAGAAGACAGACATCAGTGGGGTGATTAAGGAGAGAGAAAATCTCAGTAGTTGGGAATTTTAGAAGGAAGATGCTGGGAAAATTGTAGAAGTGGTGGAAAAAGTCTGGATAGATAAGCCAAAGAGGTGTTGAAGAGGTAGAGACAGGACCACGTAATAAAGAGAAATGTAAATACTGCTACAGAGTGAAAAATGGCAAGAGACGTCATTATAGTGAGAAGAGGAAGGAACGGAAGAAGGTATAAGAAGATACACAAGGAAAACTTTGAAAATATTAAATAAGCATTACATTTATTAAAATTAAAATTATTAGATCAAAAGAAATGGGTGTGGAAAAGATGATGCTAAATCAGACTTGGAGTTCATACACTGCAAGCAAGTATTTTTGTAAACATTTTAACAATTTAACTGGAAATACACTTTTCAGAGCACTGTTTTGAGGTGCCACACCTATGTGAGTACGTGTGTGTAATGTCCACCATACTAAATAAGGATGAACAATCGAAATCATCAAACCCCATGAATTTACAATCATTACATTCTTCTTCGATTTCCATTCCTTTTTTTATGAACTTGAATGCAGACATCCATTAAGGTAATGAGGAAAATGGAACTGAGTTTGCTCTAGTCCACCTGGAATGACTCCCAATACTGCTTGGTTCAATAGTCAGTAAGATTTAAATTTGAATTTTCCAGATTTAAATCTGAATTTTCTTAGCTTCAGAAATCTTCAAATTCCTACTGAAGTCAGTAAGAACAGCATCTATTAAGTTGCTCTCCAACTTTTGTCCCTTTATCTTATATCAGAAGAACTTCCTCTACATTAAAAACAATATCTGGACAAAACCTAACCTTTTTCCTGAGTTATAATGATTAAATTACACTGCATTATTGACATTAACATTTCAAAAGACAAGAAGAATCATTATGTTGTCTCTAGTGATGGTTATTAATGACATAGTCTTTAGAAGCAGTTGTACAGTTCTTAATTTCTTTACTCTCAATAGAGAAGAAAAAAGTAATTTATCTGTTGTTTTTCTGGCAGCTGTTACTAACTAAGCTTCTTTAAATCCATCTAAAAGAGTATAATAGTAATTTAAGACATCATCAACTTAGCTGTAGTGCTGGATCTCAGGACAGGTTTATGATTTCAACTAGTACTTAAACTGCAATCAGCAGTGGAAATAATTTGAAACTGCTCTGCTTACACAAGAAAAGCCGATTCCTCCTGAGGTCAAGGGAAAGGTTCCCACTGACTTCAACAGGCTCTGGATTAAGCTGTGAGTAAGGACCTGCATGGGCTAACTACTGGTGACAGAATCTGGGGCTCTGCCAGATAAACACAGAAAGAGAAACAGGGAATTTCAGAATGCTTCGTTCCTGGAAGAGATGTGACTTTCTAGCCTTTGTTTTCTAGCTCTAATTATTCCCCATCCAAAAAAAAAAAAAGGGAGGAAAGAAACAGGAGAAAAGACTGCACTTTTCTTTTGCTCTCAAATCTTCAATAGAATGTGAGTCCATTCATGAGATACGAATGTGTTTTAAATAGTCTTTACTAACAGTGATGGCAAACAAAATGCAGGAAGGTATGATCTAGGAAAACAGTCAATGGTGTTGGAACCCATGGGCAATTCAAGGTTTTAAGTTAAATATCAGAATGTACATTAGAGAATTCCATTCCCTGTTAGCATGTATTTCATACTTGTTTGAAAATAGCCCGGCGATTGATTCTGGGATAACTTCTTTGATACAACACATACATTACCCCTTTATTTTAACAAATTTGGGACTATTAAGAGCCAACGAATATCCCTTTTATTTACCTCTTTCTACTGAGATTATAGTAGGACATCCTTCTAAAAGCTGATTTTTGTGTGGGGACATAACATAAATTCCCATTTATATTGAGCAGCATTTCTCTTAATTTTTCATTGGCTTTCATATTTGTAAATTAGTTAAGTGCTAAATGCCTTCTGAATTACACTAGATTTAAAAATTATTACAAAGGAAAACACCTTGACAATAAATAATTTATATACTAGACTAGAATTAAATACATTGATTTATTTTCATAAGATGGACATATATTAAAAGATGGACATATATTAAA